TGCAAAAACATTATTTATCAGTATTAAAAGCATATTTATTTTTAAAGGATTAGGTATTCACTTTTGTTGTTCAATGAATTGCAGAGCTTCAAAAATTATAAACCTTTTCCTATTATATTATATTATTTTCCTTTAATAAGTTAAAGTAAACTGTATAAAAAATATCAAATATTTATTGATACATGTAATTATTATGTGTACAATGGTTACACCTGTAGAATTTTTACCTTTTACCAAAGTTCAAGGTTTTGGACACTTTAAGACAGTTTTATCCAGTTTAAGACTAGTTTACGACATCCAAAACCCCATCCCTGACTATAATGGATATATTCATTAAAATATTATGAGTTTGCTAGTTAAGGAGAGACATACTTTGGAAGCTCTTGTGACAGATCCTATTTCTGAGTAGAGATCACTGGATTTAGGAAACTTTTCCATCACAATATGGCACAAATGATGCAGCAGAGTGTGTTTCTGTACTGTGTCTTTGACTTCAGGAACTTTGGACAAGTACTCAATGTGAAAACCTTTAATCTGAAACAACATTTTCTATTAATATAAAACAATTAAACTAGATTAATGAAGAATCTAGAGACAACAATTGGTTAGAACCAGCATCCATTTGCAATTTTGAATATGTCCTGTCTGGACTGTGGTAGAGAAAAAAAAATTTAGACGCACAAAATTTTAACAAGGACAACTTTCATTCCTCATAAGGATGGGGAAAAAGTATCTTCATGATCTTCAATAATTAACAAAATTATAGAAAATTAATCTTGCACTTTAACATGAAGAGTGTGTTTAAAAAAAAGACCTAAGTAAAATACATAATTACTAAACATAAATTTTCTTAAGCAAATGTCAAATTATGATTTCTCTTGACATTATTTCTTCAATCCAAGAAAGATACATTTGAAAAAATGATGGTGATCATACTGCTTACTAGGCCAAGATAAAATATTCATAGCTGTACAAATTATACAGTGGAATTAAGGATTATAAATACGAGACCCCATAAATTTCATTAGTACTATATATATATACCAGGGTTCGCCAAGTGGGCCCACTTTGGAAAAAACCGCCCGGGTTTTATTGGGTGGGCCACCTTGAAAAACCTTGAATCTGTTAGCAANTGGAACGCTAGGTGGGTTTGTTAAATTTGGTTGAAAAAGAAGTATCGTGGAAGTTAACAAATATTTTAGAAATGTGCATCAAGCCCATGCATGGGCAAATGAAAAAAAAAATGCTTAATGCCCCAATTACCAAATGATACTAGATGAAGTTAATATTGTGACTGTGTAAAAACCTTTGCCAATAATTACTATAAATAAAGTGGGACTGCTCTTGAAGATCAAAATAAATTTAACAAAAATATATCAAAAATATTAAATAATGTAGGGCTTTACCAAGAAGCTATCAATTTGGAACAATAGTTATCAATTAGTTCTGAAACTTTAAATAAGCTTCAAACAGAAAACACTTTCAGATGCTGTTGAAATAATGATTAACTTACTATCATGAGATGAATTAGAACCCTAAAGCCAGATGAAATTTTGTAAAAAGATTCCATCAGGCAGTTCAGCCACCTCATTTATTAGCATACATCATAGATACCAAAACATGGGGACAACTTTTAAATGATAAGCAGGAGCAATTAGCACAAAGCTGGCTTTCTAAGCATCATCCAGAATTTCTGCCCGGTGTTATGGCATTCAAAATTTCCGAACCTAAATACTTTCCAAAATCAATGATGCTTGTCACTGTTATTCAACAGTTTTCATCACAAAAATAGTGAAAAATTATGGCAAAGAAAAGGGGGAAAAATTCCAAGCTTTCTAAAATTTCTTCATTTTTTTCTCCCCACACCAGCATCCTCTGCCTCTATCCGAAGACACTTTTCAACTTTTGGTTTGGTGTGGAGTAAACTACAAAATAGATTAAGAATAAATAAAGCGTCAAAACTCGTAAAAGTGTGTTGCCATCTGAGAGAGAAGTGTGGACACTTCGAATCTGGTATATTTTATTATTTTGAATCTCTCTCATTTTTATACAGCAACTCGTAAATAGAAATATTTTAATAATTTTTTTAAATAGAAATACAGTCGAACCTCTATTTAACGAAGTCACTAAATCCAGATAATAAGTTCGTTAAATGGAAAATTCGTTAAATAGAAAATTACCTTTTAAGATACGTAAACACAAAACAGGCCTTAAATTCATAAACTATAGACATCATTAAAATAGCAATTAATGCATTTTTATCTTGTAAACTAGTATCTACTCTTTATTTTATAAATCTTAACCATAAAAGAAATCTGCATGGAAAGCAAAAATAGAGCAAAACATTATCCAATGCTACACTATCATGCTATATACATTTTCAGCTAAGAAAAAGCTAAATTTATGCATAAAATTATAGTTGCAATTATTATTAAAGTAATTTTAAACAGACATTACCACATGCGTTCTTAAGTTTAATTGCTACACATAAAATCTGTTAATTTTGTCTGAGTTTTCCGTTTAAAATGCAAAGGGATTTTACCGCTTTCTCTAAAAGTTAAGTGGCTGCAAAAATTAATTCAAACTCAATTTCCTCATAAAATGCGTTAACAAGTTTAAATTGATCTGAAATATTTTATGAAATAGGGAATGTTGATCTTAAAGAAAAGTTCGTTAAATAGAAAAGTCACTTCTCTATTTGGACATTATTTTACGAAGAAATTTCCAAAATTGAAGTTCATTAAATAGAACTCCAACTGTATGTATGTATATATATATATATATTACATACAGGGAGGGACAGAGCCCCCCCCCATCTTGAGATATTTCTACGGTCACTGCTTAGTCCCATGCCCAATTACTTATAACGGAATACTTGGTGGAACAGTAAAGAGTTAAAATTCACATTAAAATTAGATGGATCATCACTTGAACCCAATTTAAAGGCCTGAAACACACACAAAATAAATTTATGTTTGTCAAAACATTAAACTCACCTCAACTCCATTAAGGAAGTTACCAACTGACCTAAGGGTTGATAGGATTACTCTTAGAGTATCACTAGATTCTATTTCTTTGATGGCCTGCTTCAAATCCATGAGAGGTTCAGCAACTTCCTAAAACGGAATAACAAATTAGATCTTTCCTGTGAGATAAGAGATGAATCCAGATGTTTTTTAAGCAATAAGTTATCATTTATTCAGATGATGCAAGAACCTGATTATTGCATGACCTTGAAAGCCCTGTTTTGATGTTGGCTTTTAACTATCCAAATTTCAAAGGTAGATAGCAAGGATGATGCAAACTACCACAAGCTTCTTAAAACCCTAAGAAATTTATAAAACATCCGATGTATCCCTCCGCTCGTGTTATGCTTACGAGGCGATGTGTGAACAGGGTCAATATTCTAGGAAGTTTTATTAACGTGATCTGTGATTAAATTTACGAGTAATTTTACCATTCATAAGAGTTTTCATAGCTTGAGGGACCTTCTGAATTCATTTGTTGCTTGTTTCTTTGAAAATTTAATTCAAAGAGCGCGTTATATTGGAAACACTACAAGTATAAAAATATTGGATGATGTGTCTTTTCACGTTTAGGCATAAAAATCAGTCGGAAGAATAAACTGAATTAATGAATTTGAATCACTAATGCCATCTGCACTCAGAGCCAGACTAAGGCAGGGGCATACGGTGCAGTTGCCCCGGGCCCCCACCCCAGAGGGGGCTCTAAAATCGAATAGAAAGTTTATTTTACGTTCCCCTCTTTAATGAACTTTATTTAAAAAACAAAATATCACCACAATGTAAAATCCGTCAGTTTCATGCTTGCTTCTTCGTTCATCTATCGTATGAACACAATCTACATATCATAAATCCATAGACTTTTAGGGTGGAATTCCGCTAAATGTTCGAATGTGGAGAAATTTGGCCAATCAAAAGCCTGTATTTTTACATATCGCAAAATGCGATATGTTTACTAAAATACAGGTTTCTGATTATCTTAATTGAGCCATCGTAATTTTGAAAATTCAGCTGAATTCCGTTCTAATGTCAGCAAGGATATGAATTTTTTGTTGCTACATAGTGAATGCTTAATTTTTTGCTGCTACAAAGTTACAAAGACCTTAATTTAAGATAAAAAGGCAGAAAGTGCCATAGTGAATGGCAGATAAATGGATTATACAGATAATCGCCACATTGTTGGAAAATATTGTCCCTAAATGTAATTTATAGTAATAAGATTATATATATCTATATATATATATATATAGAAAAGATTAATAAAGAATTGTGTGAAAGTACTATGATAAAATATTGTGCATACAAAATATTATGATGGAACATAAGCTCACACACAATTGAATTGAATTGAATGTAGGGTTTAGAGGCACAAAGTCAAAAAAAGGACATGCTATGCCAAACACACGGTTTTAAAAACAGATTAAAAAGGTAAAGCAAAGCGTATGCATAAAATCAGATAAGATAGTGAAAATTCTATAACAATGTTGTATGCATTAAAATCAATAAAACTTCATAGTACAAGTACTAAAATGGCAAGAAGTATGAAACAGTTATATACAACTTAAAATTCCAACAGCGCGTAAAAGTGTAAAGATGTTAGGATGGGAATTTTTATCTAACAAGTCTTTTATACTTAAAATCGTGCTTCCAGAAAAGATAAGGCGATGTCGGTTAAAACATGGGCAAGTGCTTAAAATAGGATGAATTGAAAGTAAAACGTTATGAGCGTCGCATTGAGGAGGCGGTTCGAGCTCACACACAAGCCTCAGACAGATAAAGTGTAGTATGAATTACAGGGGAAAAAATGTCACAAGACAGAACATGTTATAAACAAAAATCAGAATTGCTGCCCAGAGATTGTAGGAAGTAAATTTGCATTTTATACTCATCTCGTCCAAACTAAATCATAAGTTTTTGTTGTAATAGTACTTTCACTTAACAACCCACCTTTTCCAGAGATTCGTAGTCAATACGAAAAGCCCACAATCTCAGTCTTGCCTCAAGTTCACTAATTGAAGAGAGAGTAAGAAGAAACTGCTCAGCTGTGCCCAGCGGTACGTCGGGACTGGCCATCTGAGCTTCTGAAATCTTTGCTTTTTCATCTTCTGTGGGTAGCATGGCAAGAATTTTCTGAAATAACAAGAGAAACTATTAATTACTCAGTAACAATACAGGCACTTTCGTGGTTGTTGCTGGGCAACTGAACCAAATATTTTGGAACTGTTGTTTATATATCAGATGTCTTTGAATAGATTCTTGTACATCTCACAATGTTTTAACCCAGACGTTAGTTCCTGCCCTATTTTAAAATTTTAGTTTGTCTTATGCAAAAACTCTCCTAACCATTTGTCCGAACCTATGGCGGTGACTATGGTAACGAGATATAGCTATTTCAAGAAGGGGTGTGTAGGGTCATTATTTAGGACAGTTTTTGGTTCGTGTTGGCGAGCGACGACACGAGTGTGTTAGCCCTAGCGTGAAGAGAAGCCACTCTCCTTGAAATGCGCTATTCTTGTTTTCATAGCAGCAGATGGCCTCAGTCTTAGCGGCGGTGGGAGTTCTTACAGTAGACAAAATATACATGGGTTGCTTTCTCTCTTTTTCGTATGCCTGTTAAGGCAGAGGGGTACGATTGTTCTTGTTTTCCAGTGGCGCCATCTATGGCCAAGAATTCGACTTCTGCCACATCCATACCTCACATCCATTTATAGGGCGGACCCATTCATTCATCCACAAATCGTAGTTTTGACCTGAACCATAGAACGATCAATTTCCAATTCAGTACGCCCAGAGGTATTAATTTGTTATGGGAACATGGAGGACTTAGAGATGCGACAAATTCAACGCGCATCAGTTCCTTTAATACACGGGAAGTCTTCGGCTGACGGGGTTCGAACTCTCGGACATGGGCACAGCACCATACCGACCAGGCTATCCCGGCTCTACCATGGGTTGCTTACTTGCAACAAAAGTTTTCTTGTCTTTCCGCATATTTACTAAAAGATTAATTGTTGGACTTTGAGGAATCCCAGATCTAAAGTTTGTAATACTTCCTTGTGCAATCACATAAAATGTTTATCTCAGATCTATAAGGTCATGAGAACTGCCAGACTGTCAGACCTCGAATCCCACTTGTGTCAGTACACGTTCCCGTGAAATATGTATGTCACTATAATAAACTCTGTACATTTCATGTAACCTCACCTCATAATGAAGCTGATGTCAAATCGATCCTTCTATCATTGAAAGTCAACAGAAATTAGAAAAAATTGTAGGAAATTTTATCCAGAGTAAAAATTTTGGATCATTCCCCAACTTCCGTTCATCAAGTTAAAATTTCATGGAAAATTTATTGGGCCAGTTGAATAATAATACTCTTATATCAACATAGAAAATACATATTTATCAACATGAAAATCAACATAGTAAAGGAAAAAAACTAACTTTGAAAAAGGGAAAATTAAGCACTTTAAAAATACCCCATGAAAAAAACACCTTTAAGGGCTTTTAAAAAACAAAAATCGAAAAAGAGCACTTTTTAAAAACGCTAAGCACCCTGTTACATACATAGTTTTTACTATAATAGTTATTCTGATAAGCAGTTAAGAGCTAATTCTATTCTGCTAACTTTTAAAACAATATATCTTTGCATTTTAGGCAATATATTTCATATTGAAGATCTATGTGGCAATATATTTTAAAGATCTATTTCAGCGATCTCTAAACAAAAGTCATGCATTTAGAATACAGTAAGAAAAATAATAATTAAAATAGAGGGTGATGCTAGGATTTTTCTAATGGAGGACAGGAAGTCTCCAACAAAAGGGCATCTTTAGAGTTCAATATAATTTTTTTAAAAATATTTGCGGCGACTCAACTAAATCGTAACCGCGACAGTTATGATCATTAATTTTAACTCTAACTTCTCATTCGTCAGAAGAATCCTAACTGTCTCTGTCGCATGACACACACGCGCTGTACTCATTTATATTTACTGTTCCTTATACTTAATATTTTAAATATAAATTAATATAAACTTTATCAATTATTCTCCTGAACCAGTGGGGGCTCTAGCGAGGGGGGGGGGTCATAGGGTTCATGATCCTATGAAATGCGTAAATTGAAAAATAAAATAAAAATAATAATTTTTTTAATAGTTTACAAAAGAAATAAAATATTTTAAAACTTATTTAAGGGGGCATACACACCTAAAAATCGATTTCCCCGCCCCATCTAATTATGTTCTTGACTGTCTCAAGAATCATAATCCAAAAGATTAAAACGAAATTCGGTATAGTTATGTATTGTACATAATGAAAAAAATAAATGAGAAGACTAGTATTAAAAACCCTAAATTTCTTTTTTTCAAAAATAATATTTTTAAAAAATTATCTGAGTCTGGGGGATTTGAGGAATTTGAGTCTATGACCCCCCTCCCAGGAAAAATTTCTGGATCTGCCCCTGTCCTGAACACAACCAACCACCACATATTTAAATGAATTTGTTTTATTTTTCTATTAAAAAATTTAATAAATGTCCATAATAGAAGATGATATCTGATACTGCCTGAGGGGATGATTAACGCAAAAAAATAACGATTTTCTCCTGTCTTGAAATTGTAATTCTATTAGAGACAATCTTTTACTCACTTCTTTTCTTCTTTATTATTCTAACCAACAGAACGTGTTGGAAACGTGTTTGAAATAAGCCGGATTTTAAAAAATTTTATTGCCAATTCCACGTTATAGATTCGATGTGCGTAAATTACATCATTTTTGGCAAGGTTTCAAAATTTTTATGTTAAGAGTGGTGATTGCAGAACAATGTGTATTTTAATTGGAATGCTTGAAAAACTTGTATACATAATTATAGATCAATATTTAGGAACTATATCTAGACTTTTAAATTAAATAAACTCTTTTCATATTTTTATTAAATTAATAGATTTCTCTACGACTTTAATGTAAGAAGGAAAAAAATTATATTTTCATACTATACATGTTAATTTTAATAGTAGTCTTAAATTATTACTTCAGCTTTTATTTTTATTAACTAATGCTGGTTTAAAAAAAGCATTCCCGCAACATAGATGCTAAAGCTTCACAATTTCGTTACCAACGGCATGATTATGGCTATGTGGTTAGGATAGGGCATAGGCCACCTTTACTTCGTAGACAAACTGGTACTCATCCATCTGAAGCTGGGTATGTTTCACGCCGCCACTAGGGATTGAATCCCGGTTCTTCACTTTGACAGCCTTAACCACTGAACCATTGCGGTTTTACTAGTTTTGATTAGTGCTAAATTTACACCCATTATGCATATTCATTTTTTTATTATTTGATAATAAATAAAAACATTAAATTATAAAGATTTGAAAATTATTAAGATTTAGAAATTATTTTAAAGATTTTACGAAAACTATGGCATATTCGAAACATTCACATACTTGTTTACCGTTGTCACGGATTTAAATGATCAAAATAGTGTGATACTGCCCTTAATTTATACTTCTAAACTCCTTGTTAAAAACGAGGGCAATAAGCATACACATTAGCGGCCTCAAATTAGTATATATTCATGTAAAAAACAAAAACATCATCAAAATCGGAAAAATACTCTCTAATCTACTGACAAATCTAATACCGGGGAACGGAAAATTCAAAACAACAAAATCTGCTTGAAAAACAGATTAAATTTTATGGTGTTTCTATGAATTAGCTGCCTTTCAATTTTTTCAGCAATCAAACAAGTTATGATGTCAATAGTCTCTATTTTCTAGTTAATGATTTTCCAGGTTTCGATACCATTTCTATTTTTTTTTCTCGCTTTGGCGTCCCTAAATTTGTATGTTTTTTCTAACTTCATTTTTGACAAGATGTCAAAAATGTATACACCCTTTATTATTACCCGAAAGTTCAACAATTTGTTAAGGATTAAAAAATAATATACGCATTAGAAATTACTTTTACGTTAACAGTAATTTCATAATAAAAATAATATTTTAACTCTAAAGCAATTACTCTAAAGCAATTACTCTAAAGCAATTAACTCTAAAGCAATTTTTAACTCTAAAGCAATCTATAAGATTTATTAAGAAAACAAATTTTTCTTAGACATTTTCACCGAGTTCTCTAACCTACTAATGTGTTATGTTAACCTCACTAAAATGGATTCATATGCAATTAGTACGATATAGTAGAAAGTTGAGCAAGATTTATGAGTATTTATTTTAAAAAAATACATTAAGAAAAACACTTTGGGTAGAATGAATCATTATTGTACAATATGGATTATGGATAAAAGTAACATTTTAATAAGAGGGCGTATTTTTTATCAATTATATTTTGTGATACTTTAATTTGTCATGATATTAACCCTGAATATCGTATAGTTACACATTGTTCATAAAAGAAACATGAGTAACTAATAGCCAAACGTTGACTCATACGTGTTATAGAAAGCTAAAAGGTCGTTTGATTTATCGATATTTTTATTACCCTAACAGTAACCACCAAATGTTGGCAACTAATTACCAAATGTTGACTCATACGTGATCTTGAAAATTAAAAGGTCGTTTTATTAGCCCATGATTTAATGATTCATATTATTATTTTTTGTTTCAAAGCAAAGACATATTAGCATGAAATTAAGCAGTTTTATTATTTCTTTAAATTACCCTAGAATAGGTATATAGGGTGTTTGGTAACGACCGATCTTAATATAAATCTTTAAGCCTTCTTCATCTCACTTTCCTCCTTAGTGATTCGTCTTTGATAAGTATTTTATTAATATGCATTTCAGGCTGTAATTATTGAACACCAAAAAGTTATAAGCACATAAAGTATGAAAATGTGCGGTTAATGTCCGCAGCAGATTACTTAACAAGAAGAAGAGTTATTAAAGAGTTATTAACTTTTTGATGGGTTAAGGATTTTTAACAAAGGGCGTACTAATTTTAATCTATAATAATAATCTTAATTTAGGAACGACGCTTAGATGTGAGCAGTTTATATTAGATGAACTCAGGTTGCCAGCACTTTTGAGAAAGAGCATCCCATCAACTGTTATTAAAATAAAGTGTAAGAACTGAGGTATTTAACAATAATCAAGCGATCTGAAATGAATTG